TTAGTTTTGATGCAAAAACGCATGATCGCACCGGCTCGCCTGGTGCGTTCCAGCCTTTGTTATACATTGCATGTATTTCAGGAATTCTGAAAAAGCGTGGATAACACGTTGAGCAGAAAACCAGGAAGTGCGCGGGCCACAGAAGACTAACAGTTCCTCCGGAAACCGCCCTGTCCCGTGCAAAAGAGCAAAAAAAAAGCAGACGTGGATCGTGATGTATGAATTAGATGCCTGAGAAAAAAAATGACGGATTCTGAAAGTGATAAAGCCCCAACAACATCCTCCTCCAGCGAGGTTCATTTTTCCCTCCTTATACAATTCTATAAATACCTGTAATAACTCATATTTACACTAATTACCGCAGTCGTCTTACTGACGAGATCCAATTGTGGTAATGGTAAGAAATGTATACGAATTAATGGACTGAAGCATTTCCTACAATTATTATAATTTTTTAAATATTCTACGATATTTTACAGTTTTTACTAATTTCTTAATATTATTTGCTTTTGTCTTCTTCCAACTTTAAAATATCTTCCTATTTAAATATAAAGGCTTATTTCCAGTGTAAAAATTGGTTTTAAAATAAACATTCAGGGATGATGATTTTGTTTTCAAATTATTTGGTATTTAGGAAAATACTCGAAAAAAAAGGACAAAAATTTCTTTTTGAATTTCTATTTTGTGTTTTGGAAAATACTTGAAAAAAAAAAAACGTTAATGGACGATGAAAATGACCGATAAAGTAAAGCGGAACTGGCCTCATTTACCCAGCTTTTCGTAGAGTGGTAAAGTATTTCAGAGAGCTGTATTGCTACTTCAACTAGTGGATTCTTTTACAAACCATATAAGCAGATTGTAACAATCAGGCTGACTCTGAAAGCCTAAATGACGAAGGATTACAATGAGAGCGAAGGAGATAAGAGTGAGATAAGACGTTTCGGTCCATTGAGTCATATATGTCTTAACTCAACACTGCGACAAGACTTCGTGGAAGTATGATGATCGCAGTGCTTAATGAAAAAGGAAAGGAAACGAGGAAGACCACAGAAAGAAGCAGAAGGAATGACGATCTGATAATGGGATCAGGTGGAGTAAGAGAGGGATGAAAAGGGGAGGGAAAAGGAAGAGGAAGAAAAGGATTTCACAAAAAGATATTAAAAAAGGGTTTTTAAAAAAAACCCGATCTTTTATAAGAATTAAAAAAAGGGATAAATTTAGATATTAAACTCAGAAACAAGGGATCGATCCAAATATCACATATAACGAAGACCGATTAGGAAGCAGTTTGTGTTTCATCCCTTAGCTGTAAACACGGATCAGAGCAGTGTACGCAGATAGAAATCATCAGTACAGCCTCCTAGTGACTATGTACATAATGGGTGAGCAACTGGCGGCCCACCCCGCCAAAAGAGTCACTTGGCGAAATTTCAGCCGTTTTGAAACGTCCTTGATGTTTATAGAGTATCATTAATTGGTCCTAAATATTAAGGTTCGAAGTATGAAGGGTCTATTTTTTTTTGGAAAAAAATTTTTTTCTCGTCCATCTTTCATTAGTGTAGACTCAGTAGTGTGGAAAAGATGATTGAATGATATGGAAAAGAGGAAAAGGGAAATTTTTTTCATTTCCAAAAACGAAAAAATTCAAAATTACTTCATTTTCCCCGGCTATTTTGCAACTTTTGGAAGGACAGGAAAATTCCTTCGTTTTTGAAGACGAAAAAAATCAAAATTCTCTCATTTTCCCCGTCTTTCGGTTACTCATGAAAGGAAGGATAGAAATTTTCTTCATTTCCAAAAACGAAAAAATTCAAAATTCTCTCATTTTTCCCGTCCTTTGATTACTTGTTTTATTACATTTACAAAACACAGGTTTTATTTTACAGTGCGGTAAATTGAAGAGCAAACGATTGTTGCCTCTCAAGCACGTAATATTTGTTCACACGGGTTTTTGAAGGTTTTGCTGGTGGATGTTGCCTCGCTGGTGGCCTATATAAAAAATGTATTTATTGGTGCTAATGCGGCGGCGCTTGATGAAGCTCTGGCGCAAAGTAGCCATACGGATTGCATACAGAAATTCATCAGCGATCCACAAGTACCAATGCTGGTCATCGATCGAATCATCAGTAGAGGTACGCCATTGAAAATTTTTTTTTTTTTTTTTAAGCAAATAATCAACATGCTTTTGCTTCCTTGCACTGTAGATTACCCCGATAAAGTGCTGTGAAACGTCTTCGTTAGTATCACGACCTTAAAAGTTAATAGGTTGGACTAATGTGCGTGCCCTGTGTGTACGTATGTGTGTGTTTGTGTATGTGTGTGTGAGTGTATGCGTGTGTTTGTGTATGTGTATGTTTGTGTATGTGTGTGTTTGTGTATGTATGTGTGTATGTGTGTGTATGTGTGTGAATGTATGTGTATGTGTGTGTTTGTGTATGTGTATGTTTGTGTATGTGTGTGTTTGTGTATGTGTGTGTTTGTGTATGTGTGTGTTTGTGTATGTGTGTGTTTGTGTATGTGTGTGTTTGTGTATGTATGTGTGTATGTGTGTGTATGTGTGTGAATGTATATGTGTGTGTTTGTGTATGTGTGTGTTTGTGTATGTGTGTGTTTGTGTATGTGTGTGTGTGCGTGTGTGTGTGTGTGCGTGTGTGCGTGGTGGAGTGCTTATGTTCGGTTGGCTTCTTCATTTGGAGGTGGATT